TTGAATAGGGTAAAACTTGTTACAAACGTGAAAGTCATAAATAATGAAATTAGCCTTTTATTTTTGGAGTCATGCAACGTTTATATATTGACTCTCAAAAATCTTTAGGGGTATAGTTACATGATCATGAGGCACTCCAAGCTAAACATGATGGCCAAAATCTAAATAGAAAGCATGTCTTGCTAAATTATGAGTTTCCACATTACTCTGCCTGCTTTCCTTTTTTCCTTTTTGAGGAATACCTGCCATGGGTAGAATATACCAGCACTCCTCAAAATCCTTCATTAAAGCCCCGTTCGGCAACACTCCAGCTCCCGACTCCGTGGAGCTGAATCAACAAAAAAAAAGATGGTTCATTTTTGAGGAGCAGCTATTCTGTCGCTCCTCGTTTCCAGCATCGAGCGGAGCGGAGCGGAGGGAGTGGTCCGTTTCCGATCGGGGCCTAACTCTCTCTCTCTTCTTTTTTTTGCAGGAGGACGCGCCGCCGAGTAGCGAAGATAAGAGACGAGTGGGCCTGATTTTTCTATCAGCAGAGAAAAACCTGGGCCACTGATCGGCAATAGAATCGAGAACCTTCCCTTCGCCGCCTAATCTGCACTCACTACAGACTACACCGGCCCAGAGGACTCCTGCAAACCCATCAGCGTCACCCGTGCTCTGCTTCAAAGGAATGGCGAGCCCAATGGTGGGAACCCCAATCCGCCTCAGCAGCCTCAGATACGCCCCTCCTTCCCCAGCACCCAGGGGACGATTCGTGGCGGCGAGGGTGAGGGCGTCGGCGGAGGCGATGGCGACGGCGACGGAGAAGCTCGGCGTCAGGGTGGAGCGCAACCCGGCCGAGTCCCGCCTCTCCGAGCTCGGCGTCCGCCAGTGGCCCAAGTAAGCCCCGCCCGATCTCTTCCGCTTAGATCTTTCTTTCTTGTCGGGGCATCGATGGTGATGCGATGGCGCCTGCGTGCAGGTGGGGGTGCGAGAAGAGCAAGTTCCCGTGGACCTACTCGGCCAAGGAGACGTGCTACCTGCTGCAGGGGAAGGTGAAGGTGTACCCGGACGGCGAGGAGGGGTTCGTGGAGATCGCGGCGGGGGACCTGGTGGTGTTCCCCAAGGGCATGAGCTGCACCTGGGACGTCGCCGAGGCCGTCGACAAGCACTACAAGTTCGAGTAGCCTGCACCTACAGCGCTGCACGGCCGGCCGCTGTGCTGCCTGCTGCCGTTGCTAGCACTAGACTGAGGTATTTGTAGCCGGATTGTGTTGTGCTCGAGTGGATCTCTTCTCTTGTGGTGAAATAAAAACGCCAGGCTAGGATTGTGTTTGTCCCGGGCTCTGGAAGCAAACCGTGTATCGTCCGTATTTTGTTTCTTACTAGTAAGTACTAATTGCCCGTGCGTTGTAACTGGGGCACATAGACATGTCGCTGAAACTTCAGTGCGTTCTTTACATAATAACTGTGATTTAACATAAAAAGGCTTTTTACCATCTATATCCTTCCAATATGCAAAACAATTAGAATTGATACATACCATGCCAATTCAATTAGTAAAGCTCGTGTCTAATTTCACAAGCTAATGGCCAAGGAGCTGGAAATTTTGTTTCTGAAGAGAAATGCATTGCATGTAGATCAAGGGAAAACCGTTGTCTAACTCTTCACCTGTGTCAGCCTCCCTGATGTACTGGGGCCACCAACCAGCGTCCACACCCAGGACGACCCAGCCACCAGTACCAGCACACGCCCCTGGCGCCTGGGCCGCGCCAACTCCTGCTATCATGGGCCGTAATGGGCCAACTCTGTTCAGATGGAGGGATCGACTACTTAAGCCAGGAGAACGAGACCAGAGTCATCCAGAGGATCAAGGCGAACGGCACCGGCTGCTACCATCAGGTATAACTCCTTAGCCATGGCTGGGGTCTAGATCATCGAACTCAGAGAAGGAAACGTGGGACGGAAGGAAGAGCCGAGGAAAGAGGTTCGATTCACATGAGGAAGAAGATAAGGTTTGTCCAGTACAATGATCGATGCCCACACATGGCTGCCTAACGACCGCTTATACGGTAGCCACCGCTTGGCTCACACGCTCACCCTCTGGCCCACACACAACCGACCCATATATAAGGAGCGTACCATGCCCCTACTCTTAAGAACAGTGTGCCCTCACACTGACGCTAACTCAGGCAAGGCACTGGACCATTCCCAGGTCGCCATGGTCACAGGAAGACCACTCCAGGCAATCTTGTACTGTCGCCAGGTGCCACCACCGAATCTGACGAGCCTTGACTGAAGAACTTGCACAAGCCTGGACACTTGAGGCACCACAACAACATACTGAAGACAGTCGGTAGTGTTACCTGAAGCTGGTGGATCAGCTGGTTTGAGCAACGACACATGCACGACGGGATGAATCTTGCTGGATGGCGGCAACGCCAGACGGTAGGAAACTGCACCCACTCTGTCAAGCACCTGATACGACCCAAAGAACTTGAAACCCAACTTATGATTCGAGCGTCGAGAGACTGATTGCTGCATATAGGGCTGAAGTTTCAGAAATACCCAGTTCCCCTGTTGGAACACCCTGTCCGAGCGATGTTTATCCTCTTGCATCTTCATCCTGGATTGTGCCCGAAGCAAATGTTCTCGAATCAATGCTGTCATAGCATTGCACTCCGCTAACCAATTCGAGAGATCACTAGAAGCTGAACTCTGTAGATTAGAAATGCCCAAATGGCGCGGAAGATAGCCATACAGTACCTGAAAGGGGGTAGCACCCAGAGCAGAATGATAATTAGTGCTGTGCCATTACTCCGCCTGGGAAAGCCAATGTGCCCACTTCTTGGGAGCAGACTGAACCATACACCTCAGAAACGTCTCCAAACACTGATTTAACTTCTCTGTTTGATCGTCAGTCTCAGGATGATTGGTAGTACTCACGTTCATTTTAGTGTCTGACAAGCGGCACAACTCCTGCCATCGTGCTGGTGAAAAGAGGATCTCGATCAGTGACCAATACCTGAGGCAAGCCATGTAGTTTATATACATTATCCAGGTACACTTGAGCTACTGTTAGGGCAGTGAATGGATGAGCCAGAGGAATGAAATGATCGTATTTACTGAACTTGTCGATAACCACCAGAATAGTGTCATAAGACTTGCTTTTGGGAAGCCCATATATGAAATCCATGCTCACCATGTTCCAAGCTTCTTTAGGCATAGGTAAGGGACTAAGAAGCCCAGGTTTCTTGATGTGCTCAGACTTGGCCTGCTGACAAATCGTACACTTCCTCACAAAGTCCTGGATGTGTTGTTTCATGGCAGGCCAAGAAAACAACGCCTTAATTCTTTGGTAAGTGGCCTGAAACCCAGAGTGCCCACCCACTCCACTTGCATGTAACGAGAGCATAATAGCTTGATGGGCCTCCTTATTGTTGCCCAGCCACACTCTATCATGATGCCTGATGATACCTTGCACCAATTGGAATCCTTTGTCATTGGAACCAGTGAGACTAAGCTCAGATAATAATTCCTTGGCCTGTGGGTCTTGCAAGATCCTTCACCTACAGTTTCCAGCCATTGCGGAGTGCCAAAAGTCATAGAATGAAGAGTAGCAGACTCTGGCACTTTGGATAAGGAATCTGATGCAGTATTCTCCTTCCCTTTCTTGTACACTACAGTATATGTAAAGCCCATGAGCTTAAGTAGTGCTTTCTGCTGCATGGAATTGCTCACCTTCTGTCCTGTCAAGTGCAACAAACTCTTATGATCAGTGCTGATAATGAAAGGAGCATGATGCAAATAAGATTGCCATTTATCAACTGCCAAAATAATAGCCAGACACTCTTTTTCATAAGTGGACAGGGCCTGAGCCTGTGGACCTAAGGCTTTACTGAGATAGGCAATAGGGTGACCAGATTGCATGAGCACTGCTCCAATGCCCACATTACTGGCATCAGTCTCAATGGTAAAAGTCTGAGTAAAATTGGGTAGAGCTAAAACAGGTGCTTGTAACAATGCCTGCTTTAGTTGGTTAAAGGCAGCATCCACAACAGGAGTCCAAGCAAAGACAACATCCTTTTTCAACAACTCTGTCAGACTTTTGCTAATGAGGCTGTAGTGCTGGATGAATTTCCTGTAGTATCCAGTAAGGCCCAAGAATCCCCTGACCTGTTTGACATTAACAAGGGTTGGCCACTCCTGCACAACCTGAATCTTAGCTGGATCAGTCCTCACACCCTCAACACTGATAATGTGGCCCAGGTATTCCAACTCCTGCTGAGCAAAGGTGCACTTGGAGAAATTAACCTGAAGTTTGTTCTCTTGGAGAATGGCAAACACTTGTGCAAAATGTTCGAAATGCTCTTCCAGAGTGTGACTGTAGACAAGAATGTCATCTACAAAAACTAGCACACTCTTCCTTAACAGAACATCAAAGAGAGCATTCATAGCTGCTTGAAAAGTGGTTGGGGCATTAGTTAGGCCAAATGGCATCACTCGAAATTTGTACAACCCATGATGAGCTCTAAAGGCAGTTTTATGTTCTTCACCATGAACCAATCTTATTTGATGATAGCCAGATTTAAGGTCCAGTTTGGTAAACCACTTAGCCCCTACTAATTCATCCAACAATTCTTCCACAATTGGCATATGATATTTGTGTTTTACTATTATGGCATTGAGATGCCTGTAATCGACACAAAAAATGCCAAGTGTCATCTTTTTTCTTTACCAGCAGCACTGGGGAGGCAAAAGAACTAGTGCTCAATTGAATAATGCCTTGCTGTAACATCTCTGTGATCTGACATTCTATTTCAGTTTTCTGCATAGGGTTATACCTGTAGGGTTTAACATTAATTGGAGTAGCCCCTGGTAACAATGGAATTTGATGATCAAAGTCCTTGTGTGGTGGTACTCCTTCAGGTGCATTGAGCAGTTGCTTATGAGCTTCAATGAGTTTCTGCACTGATAAGGGGCATTCTTGCTGTGGTTGAGGTACTGTAGTGACATAATTCAAATGGACCACATGTTCCACAGCTGCAGACTGTAGAAGACCATGTAACTGTTTGCCAAACAAAGGTGTGCAGCTCTGAACTTTATCAGATATGCCTTGCAAAGTGATCTCAGTGCCTTGGTGCTCTAACTTCATAATTTTCAGTTTCCGGTCAACCCACATAGGGCTCATGATTTCCAACCAATTCATGCCTAAAATTATGTCATAACTTTCCAGAGGTAACACCTTGAGAGAGGTACTGAAACAAGTGCCTTGGCACCACCACCGTAGATCTCTAACTTGTTATGTACAAGTGAGAGTACCTCCACCGGCCACTTTAACAGTAGCTGCAGGCAACATTTCCACTAGACATTGGAGTTGTTGCACCAATTTCTCACTGACAAAGCTATTGGAACTGCCAGAGTCTACTCGAATCAACAAATGTGTTTTCCCAATCATACCTTGTAACTTCACACTTTCTTTGCAAGAGGTACCCGTGACAACATGGATGGATAATTTCATAACAACTTCATCAGCCTCAGCATCTGATAACCCACAAGTATAGGGGATCGCAACAGTTTTTGAGGGTAGAGTATTCAACCCAAATTTATTGATTTGGCACAAGGGGAGCCAAAGAATATTCTCAAGTATTAGCAGCTGAGTTGTCAATTCAACCACACCTAGAAACTTAATATCTGCAACAAAGTATTTAGTAGAAAAGTAATGTGATAGTAGCGGTAACGGTAGCAAAAGTAATAGTTTTGGTTTTATAGTGATTATAACAGTAGCAACAGAAAAATAAATAAGCGAAGAACAATATGTGAAAAGCTCGTAGGCAATGGATCAGTGATGGATAATTATGTCGGATGCGATTCCTCATGCAATAGTTATAACATAGGGTGACACAGAACTAGCTCCAGTTCATCAATGTAATGTAGGCATGTATTCCGAATATAGTCATACGTGCTTATGGAAAAGAACTTGCATGACATCTTTTTTCCTACCCTCCCGTGGCAGCGGGGTCCTATTGGAAGCTAAGGGATATTAAGGCCTCCTTTTAATAGAGTACCTGACCAAAGTATTAACACTTAGTGAATACATGAACTCCTCAAACTACGGTCATCATCGGTAAGTATCCCGATTATTGTCACTTTGGGGTTAACGGATCATAACACATAATAGGCGACT